GGAGTCGTGGTGCAAGATCGGCATAGTTAGGAGCCATAGTGACAGATTAATAGTTTCCGAGAGTCGTGGAGCAGGTAGGCACAACTGTGAGCGCAGAGCTGGGGTTGACTTGGGCTAAGTTATGCGCAATCGGAGGACTTGGACCACTAGGTCTGTGATGCTCGGCTACTGGTGATGTGCCACTTCAGTGTTGAATCGTCTAGAATGTTGAGAACAAAACCTGCCCCCAGTTCTTGGTAGTTAGGCTGGTGTGTCATTTTGGTACTTGTCTGCACCCGACACACCATTTGGTTGAGCTACTGTGTTTGTTAGAATAGAAGTAATCTTTGTATCTAACAACCTATGTGGGATAGTTCCGTCTGCTTGATCTTGTCAATGAAAGGTGACTCATTTGTGTTGGTCATGTCTTGTCGGAGCGCTTCATCAGTAGCTTGTTGCATTGGAAATTGCGTAATCGCTCGATCTTGAGCCTCTCTACTTCTTCCTGAATGTGCCTTTGTTGGGGTAGTTGAGCTCTCGATTGTCCCCAGTCGTGACCTGTTAGTCTAGGCTGTTCTTCCCTGTGCTCTGTTCGTCTATGCCGAGGCTGTGGTGCATGTGGTACATTTCTGACAGGCGAGCGAATTACTCACAGGCTGCCGGTTGAACTTGAGCCGAATTGAGTGACTGCTTCTCTCCGTCCGTCGTGTTGCCTACTCCGATGTGAGGTGGATAATGCTCCTTGTTGACCTAGCCGCGAATGAACACTTCGCCTGGAAGGTTGCTTATTGTTGATTATCGGAGTGTGGCCCCAACCATGAATGTATGCTCGTCTGTGAGGCTTGATCAGGAATGCACGCTAAGACAAGAGTATACACTATCCCGAGAACCCAAGCAAGAGCATAAACTGCTAGAATACTCGGATCGTGGTTGGTTGAGAGGCTGCTTGTCAGGACGCTGCTGAAGAGGTTCGTCGTTTGCCTTTGTCATGCTTCAGGACTCTTTATCTAGGGCACGCTGCAAGAGCTGATTCACCAAGGTAGTCTAATGCGTAAGGGCGTTTATCAACTCTATGACTTGTTGAGACAAGTGTTGTTCGCTATTTGGGTTGGAAGAGCTTGGATGAAATACGTCTTTTTGGGCAGTGGAAGTGTGGTAGATTCTGGGTGCGAGATTTGAGTTGGGAAATGTCAAATCCACGGAGAAATGTGATGAAAATGCCCCCGGTTCAATCGTCGGCCTAGAAATCTGAAGCCGAGACGGTTAAACCGGTCTTGGATCGATGAGAATTGCTTGAAAAGCTACGGGAGTGGGCTGTTCGGCGTGTGGCGCAAGTGGGTGTTGGGCTTGGGCGGCTCGGGCCGGCTCATCTTGGGCTTGGGCCCGTGAGGGCTTGAATGGCATGGCTTGGGCTGTGGTCTTGGCTTGGGCCCGTGAGGGCTTTAATGGCATAGCTTGGTGCCGTGGTGGTTGCTATGGTGGCACTCCGTGAGGGTGATGCCGCTCTTCTCATTGTCGTGTTGAGCCTTGTGGATCACCGTAGGCTTTGTCAAGGATGGTGCTGTGGCGGTTGGTATGATGGCGCTTCATGGGGGTGGTGTCGCTCCACTCATTGTCGTGTTAAGCCTTGTGGATCGATGTGGTCCTAATTCTTGAACGTTGGAATTTCCGTTCATTGAGGTTTCCGAATCTTTTGCCATTGTACTTTTCTTTTACGTTTTATCGAAAAATCTACAAATGAACAAGAAAACGAAAAACCTTGAATGCGAGAGTCTTCTACGAACGTGTGACTCAAACTCTCAATGAAAACACCAATTTGTGGATGCAAATTTCTGCCTTTTTCTTCTTGGACAAAATTGCACCTACAAAATAATTAACATCTTAAGTCATGACTAAGAGCCTCACGCACCCATGATTAATGGGGGGCTTTGGCCGAAGAACCTCCGATGCCAAAGTTAGAATTTGAGGGAAAAATGTTTAGACAAGTATGGAGAATTTAACAAGAGAGTTGGACTTAGGTTTTTGGGAGAAATGAGAGCTATTTATAGGGGTGTGGCCGACCCTTATTTGGAGAAAAGGGATCCGGCCACTTATGGTGGTTTTTTGGTGTAATTGCAAGATATTATGTCAAAATAATATCTTGCAATCAATTAGGAAATTAATTAGAAAAGTATTTAATTAATTAGGAAATTAATCAAATAATTTAGGTAATTAATCCTAATTTGAATGAATAATTGAAGGTTACCTTGTGAGGAGGATTTGATGAGGATGGATGAAATAAGTTTTGAATAAATACCTATTTTGATCACTTTTGACCTTGATTGAGTCGTGATTGCCTGTTGTTTGCACGTGGGAGTTCCGATGTGGCTCGATGGAAATTTTGTCTTTTTCACCAAAAAGTACACGTGTCGCCTCTATAATTTTCCTGATTATTTTTTACTCCACAATATGTATGTTCTCTTAAACTCAAGTTTGAAATTCTTACTCAGTAGATTAGAGTAATTTTTTATTAAAACAAGCAATATAAAAAGAGGAAAAAACTCAAGCCCAAACTTGAATCACAAACTCTCTGTAAATATAGTGGCCAAGTATTTATTTTTTATTTATTTAACAAATGATATTATTCAAGGTTCTAAAAAACGTTAGGCGCTAGTCGGGTGGCGGGCTGACGCCTAGCTCCTAGGCTGCTAGGCGGGGTTTTGGCGGATTTAGGTAAATTTCTTGTATATCTTGTAAATAAGTGCATATTGACACTTACAAAAAATTATACTTGTATGAAATCCATGCATAAAATAATAAAAGAATGATAAAATGCAAAAAGAGTATCCAACAAGTCCAAAATTTAAAAACACATTAAACATATATGTCATATAAACCTGGCATTTTGGACCCGACCTGTTAACCCGACCCGACCCGTTAATATTAGTATTTGGGTGGATGCTTAACGGGTCGGGTTGCTAACGGGTTGGGTTGCTAACGGGTGAACTCGTTAACAACCCGTTAAATAACGGGTCACTTTGGGTCAACCCGTTAGACCCGTTAGCACCCTTTAACACCCGTTAGTTGATGATGTTTTAGTAATTTCAATAAAGTCTTAACAACAAAATATAAACTCTATGCAAAAAAAAAAAAAAAATAATTGTTAACAGGTGAAACGGGTGACTCGTTAGCTTAATGGATGGGGTTCGGGTGACCCGTTAGCTTAACGAGTTGAGTTCAGGTGATCCATTAACTTAACGGGTCGGGTTCAACCCGACCCAAACCCAATAAACCCGACCCGTTTACAGGTCTAATGTCATATAACCATAGTGAGGAGTATTGTAGGATGACATATGTACAATAAGTTCACAATTTAAAACCACATAAAATGCAAAATAAGAGGAAAATAAGGAAATATAGTAATGTAGATAGATTTTTTTTTTTTCAAAAAAAAAAAAAAAAACTGCCTAGCCGCCTACAGCCCAATCGATTTTTTCAACCGATTTGCAAGAAAACACCTCGGGTCACCACTGCCCAGTGCCTAGGCCATTTTTTAGAACACTGATATTATCCATACTAAAGGAGTGGGGTAGTGGGCTCCTCATAATGAGATAACGATAATGTGATTCAAATTTGTCTTTGACAAACATCGAACCTATAGAACTAAGGGACAAGACAAAAATAAAAATAAATAGGTGTAAATAAAAAGAGAGAGTTGAGAGAGAGGAATGGGAGGTTGGGACCTGGGGGAGGAGACCAGAGTGGGTTAGAAGACTCAAAAACACACGTTGATTGTAGGCAGCAACATGTGCTCACATGCATAGTCTGAAATATCGATAATATCGACGAAATATCGAGGATATTTCGGTTTTTTCGAATCACGGATATTTCGGAACATATCCATGTACATATCGTACAAATATCGACAATATCGATGATAATATCAGAAAATATCGATGTCGATAATTTCGCTCACACTTCAGCAATATTTTGTCAAAATATTGGTGTAATATCACTAAAATATCGATGCAAAGGAAGGAAAAAAAAAAGAAGCAACATGTGCTCACATGCATAGTCTGAAATATCGATAATATCGACGAAATATCGAGGATATTTCGGTTTTTTCGAATCACGGATATTTCAGAACATATCCATGTACATATCGTACAAAGATTGACGATAATATTGGAAAATATCGATGCTGATAATTTTGCTCACACTTCAACAATATTTTGTCAAAATATCGGTGTAATATCACTAAAATATCGATGCAAAGGAAGGGGAAAAAAAGAAAAAAAAAGAAAAAAAGGGAAAAAAAGGAGGAAAAAAAAACACAAAGGGGATTTGAACCCCTCCCATTTTACTCCTCCAACACCGTAACCACCATATATCACTTATGTTTTAGGATAATATACTAAAATATTTATATTTATATGAGTGACATGTTAACAATTACATGCAAAACTATTTTGGGGATTTATCATTTGATGAATACTCTTCACAATAAACTTACTCTACACATAGAGATGATGAAGATAGTGAAAATTTTGAACCTCATAGGAACTTTATGTGGTACTAAATCACTCATGTATCTTACCATGCAATGTATAAAGTGTAAAATATTGTAGTAAATCATTATATATAAATGATTATGGTGTGTTTAATCTTTTTTTCATTAATTACTACATGTTTTCTATACTCACAATGTTTGCCAGCTCGCTGTATAATCAACTTAAATCAGTTAAATCCATCATGTAATGCATTTCCTTCTAATTTTTTTTTGATAAACTAATAGATAATTGACTAAATAAACATTCTCTAAAGTTTTAATAAAAATTTCTAAGTTTCAATAAAAATTTCTAAGTTTTTCTTACAATTTTCATAGTTTTTATTCAATTTTTATCGATATCAATAATATCCCGATATTTCCATTGAAATTTCAATGTTTTTGAACTACCGATATTTTCGATATCATCAATATTCACATGTCACATGCCACTCTTCTTATTCATTAATTTCATTTTTTACCCCCTCCCCTCCCCTTTGCCCTCCTCCCTCCTCCCTCCTCCCTCCTCCTCCATAGCCTCTCTCTCTCTCTCTCATAGTCATAGCCAATACTCATCATTTCCAAGTCAAAACACAAAACAAAAAGGAACCCAACTCGTTCAATTTCTGAGCTTCTGAGGGCAAAATAACCATAAGCTGAATCAAGAAAAAAAATGAAGGAAAGCTCAGATGGGTTTGTGAGGGCAGATCAGATTGATCTGAAGAGCTTAGATGAGCAGCTGGAAAGGCATCTCAACAGGGTCTTGACTTTGGAGAAGAACAAGATCATGAGAGACCCTGAAACCAATTCCAACAGCATCCACCTCACTACCACCTCCAACTCCAATTCAACCACCACCACAACCACCACCTCCACTTCCTCCATGACCCTCTCCATCCCCAGGCGCCACCGCCAGGAGTGGGAGATCGACCCATCCAAGCTCCTCATCAAGTCTGTCATTGCTCGTGGCACCGTCCACCGTGGCAACTACGACGGTCAAGATGTCACCGGTAATCCCCTCCTGTCATTTTAGCTCATCTTTCATTTGGGTCCTTAAAAAGTTGTCAAGTTCCTCACTTTTGTGACTTTCTCCCCAAAAATTCAACCTTTTTCTTTCAATTTTCGATACCCCTTTCTTACAATGTTATCTTTTTGTTGTATTTATTTTCTGCAGTGTATTATGGATGTTTTTAGCAAAAACCCATTTGGTTTTTTACTTTACTTTAATTGAATTTTGGGAGATAATTGAAGATCTTAGTTAATTTCCACTTTGGGTTTTCTACTGTAAAATGTAGTTTAAACACAAAAGTAAGGTTGATTATGGTGTTGTCTTGCCATTATTCACTTTGTTTAGTCAGTTTAAATGTTGGATTAGTTGAACTTTGTGGTTGATCTTGCAAGTCACTACAAGTTTCTTACTTTATAGTTTATATACATTTAGGTATTATATATATATATATATAGCTATTTGCTACCATGGAGACATGTTGGAGTTTGTTTAATAACTCTTGTTCTGATAAACCATCTATATTCCATTCATAGAGTTTATCAGAAGAGACAGTGAATTGGGAGTGGAAATTCCTTTCTTCAAACTGAAGATCAGGAGGTGTTGGTCTGGGATACCAGTTTTTGGTTAAGGATGTAGGATTAGTTCTTTTGACGTTAAGACGTTTTACTTCAAGGTTCTGAAAGGCTTTTTCCATTTGATGGATGGAAATAACACTTTCATCTTCTGAACTTTGAGTGGAGGAAGGTGTTTCAGAATCATGTGGGTTATTAATCACACGAACTGATTTCTCTTTTTCTAGCTTATTGAGCATTTGTTCTATCTTAATAGATGTTGAGGTTTTTAAAGAGGGTGACTCCCTAAAACTGGTTAAGGGTATTTCTTTACTAAGAGGTTTGATCGACAAATTGTCAATTTTTGTTTCAATTTTATCCAACTGTTTTCCTATGGTATGTAGGCTTTGGTTGGTAAAATTGTTTTGTTCAATGACAGGTTTGACACCTGCATCTTCCTTTGGAAGTTTGAACGGTGAGGCTAGGATTTGTGTATTCGCAGTACTAATAAGAATAGTTTCTTTTGGCGGGTGACTGGAGGAGACAATTGTCTTATCTTCTTTAAGCCAATTTTCTTTGGTTATTACCTGTACTTGTTTTTCAGACTCGTAATGGTTCTCAACGAAGTCAAAGAAAAATATTTCAAGTCTGTTAGTTTGCATGAAATCTTTCCATGCCTTATGGATTTTTAGTTTTTCTTCAGTAGTGTACTTACTCCTGAAGAAGTTTCGCCGAGAGACATTTTCTAAGGCTTCTATGTCCCTACAGAGTTTTTTATGATCATATTTAAAAGGTTCTTGTCTGGTTAAGACCAATAGTTGGTGATGTACTAGTTCTGCATCAAAGTCAGAAGCAGTTGGTGATGTTTGTTCTTCCTTAGTAGGAATGGATGGGGTATGGTAAGTAGGCTGGACTACTTGAGCGTTTGTCTCAAGTGATTGAAGTTTAAAATTTAAAAGGTCATTTATTAATTCTTGCTGGGTGATCGAGGAGCCTGTATCTACTGATTTTAATTGCTTATTAGCTAAGGAATTGATTAATTCTTGGTCACGACCTTGCCTATCGTTTGGCATAGATCCAGAGAAAGAATTCCTACTAGAAACAAAAGATTTAAGTGATTTATTAGAGTCACAAGACTTTCTAGCAGGACGATCAAAATTAATTTTAACCGTTCCGTCAAAGTATTGTTCTATGTTGTCTAAATTGACGAGACTGTTTTGGATGGCTACCTGCCGACTTTCATTTATCTGACACCAATCTGAAGGAAGATTGATTTCTGACCACCTAATGGTTCTGGGTATTTTAATGTTGGCATTCTCTTGATTGGTTTGGATCAAGAGAGTATGATCCTTCGGACTTTTGGTTAAAGCCTGAAAGTTCATATTTGTGCCAGTGACTTTATAATAAATTCTGTAAATTAAGGCCAAAGGCTGTGTTCCTTCGAGGACTTTATATCCTGAAATTTTAATATTTAGTGTAAGTGCTTTTAGCATGTGTGGGTCAGATAGACTTATGGTGAGATCTGGAAAGCAATCAAAATGGATAGGTCCATTACATAGACTGGATTCAACCATACCAAGTATGCTATCACTGAAGTCAGTGAATCTAGCATCGCGGAGACATAAAAGGATAGAGGTATTAAGACCTCTACGTGTTAATGGTTTAGCTGCAATTTGCACTAAACCTATATGGATATAATTATGACCATCTTTCCTATGGGAATTAATTTGTTCTGGGGTAAATAATTGACAAGTTTCATGATCTTTACTAAGAGCATAAGCTTGTTTAACCGTTTTGACATGGTGTTCAGTTTTAAAAGAGGCAAATGCCCATTTCTTTTTATAAATATTTTTTGAAGATATTTTTGGAATATTCCATTCAGAAAAATCGAGACTACTGTCTGTTTGAAATTCAAATTTTTGTTCTTCATTGACAATGTCAGGTATTGTTCCTAAATTTGATCTAGAGCTAGTGCTGGCCATAGAATTAGATCTAAACAGTCTACTCATACCAATAAATATCAGACAATCAAAATACAGAAATCTTAACAAGAAAATCTTGCTAGTGAATCTAATCACCAAGCTCTCTGGGTCACGCGCGCCGCTCAGGCCCTATCCTCCGGGACTTACTGTTTGGGTGACGTCTTACTGCTCAGACTTTATGGTAAAGAGGTAACACTAAGAAGATTAAACATATTAAGATTTACTGGAAAGTAATTGAATGAAATTTAAAGATATAAATGAGAGTATTCAGATACTAATGCTATAACCAACCACTTGGTTCTGATACCAAATGGGTGCGGAAGCCATATATGTATATGGACATGAGAAACTCAAGATATTTGATTAGTATCAGATTAGGGTTAATTGGGAATTGTAGATTCATAGAATCAATCAAAAGAATATAAACAAATAAAACTAGGTTGAAAATAGGTGTAGTATTCATGCTTAAGATAATGAATTAAAATTAATGATGCTGATGATATTCGATTGAAAATATATTTATTGAAAATCAAAAGACTTACAAAAGTTTCGTCTACTGACGATTTTTAAGAACAGAATCGGGAGCTCGCAGGCATCCTTGAAGATAAACTAGATTGTAGATGTTTCAAAATGAAATACAAGTGTTTGATTAAAATAAAAGACTCTGTTCAATAATGAATACGCAGAGTTCTTCCTCTAAAAAAAAAAAACCCCCCCTAACAGGAACCGGAGAAGTCCTCTTATGGAGATGGGAGATGGCAGAATTATTGAAGAAGCAGCGGGATTCCCGTTTGCCATGTGCCCTTGCTGTAAAGAGGCCGAAAGCAGAAGATGCTGTCGAGGACTGTAGAATCACGAGAGTGGATGAAATGATAGGTGAATAGTAAAAATGATTTTACTATTCATGAATAGTAACTGGTCTGCTACTTGCTAACAAATGCTCAATAAGCTAGAAAAAGAGAAATCAGTTCGTGTGATTAATAACCCACATGATTCTGAAACACCTTCCTCCACTCAAAGTTCAGAAGATGAAAGTGTTATTTCCATCCATCAAATGGAAAAAGCCTTTCAGAACCTTGAAGTAAAACGTCTTAACGTCAAAAGAACTAATCCTACATCCATATATATATATGTGTGTGTGTGTGGCAAAATTCCCAATGCACATATTCAATGGACTGCAATGAAGGTTGCCGATTGTCCACTGTAATTGTACTTTTATGGAGTCCGTGACTCTTACACGGGTTTGTGTTGAATTTTCTGTTGAGAGCAACTTGGATAATGTTGCTGTATTCCTGACTTTCATGGGAGTTCCCCACCTGTTAGTTGAAACTTATTCAACAACTAAATTGGAAAAATGCTTATCCATACGTATTTATGTTAGCGAAACTCCTTATTTATCAACACATTATTGTAGTTGCTGTCGTCATCATCTTCCAATCCAACCAAATTATGACCTTTTCGGTTCTTTGTATTCTTCTCTTCCTTTTTTTCGTTTTGTTGGTTCGTGATGATTCACAATCGGGTTGCAAATTTTACCGTTATAATGACGGCTCCATTGTTTATGCCAGTTAAATTGCTTGACTGGGGTGAACCGGTGAAGAGGGTCACAGGACAGACTCAGAGATTGCTTCTCTAAGGGCAGCTTTTACTCAAGAAGTTGCGGTCTGGCAAAAACTAGATCATCCTAATGTTACTAAGGTAACTTTCCACCTCTCTTTTTTAAGAATTTTCGGAAGTGTCATTTGGATTTGATCGATTCTTCTAACTTTTATGAATATCAAAACCCGAATGTCTTTGTTTTAAGAAAGCCTCTAGCATATGCAACATTGAAGACATTCACTATGTCACTTCACTAGGGTTGGTTTTTCTGCGGTTATTCATAGGGCGTCCACGGACCACGCAAAGGTTTCTAACTTCCTAGTTATACAATTGTTCTCTAGTCAGCGTATCATTATCCTCCTTGATTTATCACAGCCTAAGGTTGCAACCGTACCCGAGACAGTTGCCTTCCTTTTCTTTGGTATCCTTCAGTTGCATCTCTCACCACCTGAGTGAGGTAGAAGCATTAGTTTTTGTATCATGAATTTTCAGAACTTACTTAGCAATATCAGGTAGCAAATAAGTTAAGCGATGACTTTTTAAATATATGCACAGTAGTGAATACATGCTGGCAAAATAGCCAAAATGGTCCCTGAGATTTGCATAACTCATCACTTTGGTTCCTAACATTTCAAATCGATAAAAGTGGTCCTTGAGATTGTCCACCATCCATCATTTTATTCCTTTCATTAAAACTCCGTTAAGTGTCCCGGGGCTTTTGGCCAGAAGTTTGGGCAATTTTCAAAGCTTCGTAACTCAATCGTTTCTTAACCACATTCGACCCATAATATATCAAAATGAAGATAGGAAAGTGTATAATAAGATTATACCTATTTGGAAGCCCAATGGTTGCCGGAGATGGCCGGAAAATAGCCTCAAAGTTGACTGGTCCGAGGGAAAACTTGAAAGCTCGCCGGAAACTGGGTAAACTTTAAACGTTCATAACTTCTTCAATACTCAACGAAATCAAGTGATTCAAAAATAAAAATCATACTTCTCGACGAGAAAAAGAGAATGGTACATTATTTGATGGCTAACTCTCTGTGTTGTGGCCGGAAAATGGCTCGAAAGTGGTTGTCTTGGTCTCGAGTTAGCTACTTTTAAGCTGTTTTCCGGCCAAATCACGGCGATTCACCTGTCTAAAAAGGTACCATTCTCTTCGTCTCGTCGAGAACTATGATTTTCATTTTTGAATCACTTGATTTTGTTGAGTATTGAAGAAGTTATGAACGTTTAAAGTTTACCTAGTTTCCGGCAAGTTTTCCAGTTTTCCCTCGACCAGTCAACTTTGAGGCTATTTTCCGGCTATCTCTGGCAACCATTGGGCTTCCAAATAGGTATAATCTTATTATACACTTTCCTATCTTCATTTTGATATATTATGGGTCGAATTTGCTTAAGAAACGATTGAGTTACGAAACTTTGAAAATTGCCTAAACTTCTGGCCAAGAGCTCCGGGACACTTAACGAAGTTTTTAACGGAATGACCAAAATGATGGATGGTGGACAATCTCAAGGACCACTTTTATCGATTTGAAATGTTAGGGACCAAAGTGATGAGTTATGCAAATCTCAGGGACCATTTTGGCTATTTAGCCATACATGCTACATTTTCTTTTGTCCGGACTTCTTACATACGACAATTTTCTATGCTATTTAACAGGCTATAAGAAGTTCAAGACTTTAAGGGAGATTATATTCACATCCCAAATTACTTCTCCCACACCCTTTTAATTTTTTAATATTTTTCTATCAAATGTTAGTGGTGTGTAGAAAATATTAAAAAAGTAAAAGGTGTGGGAGAAGTAATTAAGGGTGTGTGAATATAATCTCTTAACTTTAATGCTCCTCTTCAATAAATGCCATTGACACTTGTGTTCAAGACTTTTCTACAGGATCGGCAGTTCACATTAGTTGGATGTATGGTCCCCCTTTGAGTTGAAAATAAATGGGCTTTTTGGGATAGCCAAACTAGATCCTTCTCAGCTGATGGTCTCCCTTGGATGTGTGTGGGGGACTTCAATGAATTAATATGGCCATATGAAAAACGGGAAGGCAAAGAGTGGGATGTTGGTCGACGACGCTTCCTCAAAGACTTAATCCAGCGGAAAGAACTGATTCATCTGGGCTATTCAGGACCCTAGTTTACTTGGAAGCGAGATTGGGAGGATTGGGGTTTCATTGAAGAAAGACTTGATAGGGCAGTGGCAAATAATTCTTGGATGGAGCTTTGGCCGAATACAAATGTATCCCACGACCCTTTTATGGGTTCTGGTCATAGGCCTCTTATCATTAATACATGCCTTCATTTTGTATCATCCCCAAAACCTTTCAAATTTGAAGCCTACTGGATTACAGACCCCGATTGTGCCTCTGTAATTTCAAACTCTTGGAATGAAAATTGTCATGGTTCTTTCTCTTGGCGGTGGTTATTTAAACATAATAGTTGTAGAAGAGCACTATCAAAGTGGAGCAACTTCAAGTTTAAAAACAACCGTAAAGAAATAAACAAGAATCTGACAGCTCTTGAAACGATCAATGAAATTTAGGATCAGGCCTGTCGAATTTCAACAAGAAAAGGGATTGAAAATCAGCTGGGAGAGCTTTGGAAAAAAAGAGGAGAGTTATGGGCATCAAAGGTCAAGAATTAAGTGGCTTAAAAATGGGGACGCAAATACTTCGTTCTTTCACCGCACCACAATTCAAAGAAGGCAATCTAATAGTGTTAGGAAAATCAAGGGGGATGAAGATATTTGAATTGAAAATGAGGAGGATATTTGAAAACAATTTGAAAGATATTTTCAATCTCTTTTTACTTCAGATGGCTCGAAGGATACGTGGGAGGCATTATGTGGTATTCAAAAGGTCGTTACGAGAGAAATGAAATTATCTTTTACTCAAACAGTCTCCATGATTGAGATCAAGGATGCTGCTATGCAAATGGGGGGCCTAAAAGCACTTCGCCCAGACAGCTTTCAAGGAATATTTTATCACAACTTCCTCAACGAAGTAATCAATAGAGCAGCCTCGGAATTTTTTCAACATGGTCTCCTCTCTCCTGAGATGAACCACACAAAAATTGTGCTTATTCCAAAAATCCCAAATCCTGAAACTGTTTCCCAGTTCCGTCCCATTAGCTTGTGTGACTATTTGTACAAGATCATCTCCAAAATCCTTGCCAACCGAATTAAACATATTCTCTCCTCTCTTATATCCCACCATCAAGGTGTTTTTGTGTTGAATCGGCAAATTCAAGACAATATTCTCATAGCCCATGAAACCCTTCACTACCTGAAGAACAAGAAAACAAAGAGAAATTGTGAGTTGGGGTTAAAGGTCGACATGAGGAGTCGGATCCCCTTATTTATTCTTGTTGTTATCGAAGCCCTATCTACTCGGCTAACAAAAGCTTGCACTGAGAATGCTATCCAAAGTATATCTATTTCCCAAGGAGGACCCACTATTTCTCATCTATTATTTGCAGATGATTCCCTATTTTTCTTAAAAGCCACCCCACAAAATGGACAAAAGATCAACTACGATAAATCCACCTTGTTCTTTCTGCAAACACTCCTCAACCCACCAAAGGTGAGATTGGAGCGGTCTTAAATATGATTGACTCCTCAGAACCGGGGAAGTATCTTGGTTTGCCTACAATTTGGGTCCGTTCAAAAAAAAAAAAAGAAGCTTTGGCATTTGTCAAAAACCGGATTCAACATAAAGTTCAATCTTGGAAGATCAATCCTCTATCTTTGGCAGGCCGCGAAGTGCTCATTAAGGCAATGGCTTATGCTGTTCCAACGTAACCAATGAATTGTTTTTTATTTCCGCTAACCTTTTGCAGGCAATTAGATGCTCTCATTGCGAACTTTTGGTGGGGCAAAAAAGAGGACGGGCGTCGGATGCATTGAAGGCGTTGGGACACTATTTGCCTCCCTAAAGTGGTCGGGGGCTTGGGTTTTAGGAGCTTCTCGGACTTTAATAAAGCTTTGCTCGCAAAACAAGTTTGGCATCTTATTCAGGAGCCGGACTCTTTTTGGGCAAATGTGTTAAATGGGAGATATTTTCCAAATGGGGAAGCTATGAATGCAACAAAAGGATCTTGTGCATCCTGGGCTTAGAGTATCCTCCTTGAGGGTCAAGCTGTCATCGTTTGAGGAGCTCATTGGCAGATTGGGAATGGTTCCTCCATCAACATTTGAAAAGACAAATGGGTCATATATGAGGAGGATGGTATACTGCGCCCCTCTACTCCGGTCTCGGATGCTGCCCCTTGCCTGGTGAAGGATATTATTGACCCCATCTCTCGTTCGTGGGATACTAACCAAATCAACTACCTCCTAACATCTAATGCTATCAGAAGTATTGGGTTAACCTGTATTGTGGATGAGAACTCACCTGATCGTCTAATTTGGCCTCCAACAAAAAATGGCGATTATTCGGTGAAGTCCGGTTATAACTTTTGTCATACTCCTCGAGCGTTGGAACTTGATTTGTGTAGGGGCAAATCTCAGAGCTCTCACCAAACTGGGGATGATTATTGGAAGTTGATGTGGAAGATCAAAACTCTACCCATGATTAAACTTTTCTTATGGCGTGTGGCTACTAATTGCTTACCTACGATGTTAGCTCTATATAACAGGAAAGTTGCTCCCAACCTTACGTGCCCCTTATGCAAAGAGTTCTCGGAATCAACGGAGCATGTCCTTTTCCTTTGCCCTTGGACTATCGGCGTTTGGTTTGCAAGCTCACTAAATTATCGAATTGACAGATCAAGCATTACAACTTTTGATGATTGGCTTTTAGCTCTAAGGATAATTGCATGCCATATCTTTGATAATCAATCTTGGGTATATACCACGGCTTCTTTCATATGTTGGGAAATATGGAAAGCAAGTTGTAATTACACCTTCAATCTCTTAGTCTCTTCACCAGAATACATCGCTGCAAAGGATCTATTGTTGCCGGCGCATCAAGTCCTTGCTTATCTTCCTCGTTTCTCCATATTGAGGCTAAGGCAGCTCTTTTAGCAGTCCGCTCAGCGATCCACAACAATTTCCTGGATGTGATCTTTAAATCCGATTCGCTGGAGCTTATCAGCAACATTAAGGGTGACTTCAAGAATGGAAATTGGACCATTTTCCCCCTGTTAATCCAAATTCGGAATCTTTTTCATCGCTTTCATTCGGTTAGCTGGCGATGGATTCCTCGTCAAGCGAATTGTGCAGCCGACTGGGTTGCTTCGTATTGTAAAAGAGGGATGCGCTCTGATGTTTGGGTCATAAACCCCCATCCTCTCTAGTTCACATTTTATCCAAAGATGGTCTCCCTTGCCCCCCCTAAAACCTTTGGAAGTTGAGATTGGGGAGGACTGCGGATTGGACCTCAGCCTCGCTTTAGTGCCGTCTTCTGCCCTTCTCCCCTGTCTCAGGTCTGGGTGAGACCTCTTTTGGCTTTCTCTCGTTTTGTTGATCTTATCTACTGCTATTTCTTGTTGTGTTTTTATTCCCTTGTATTGTTGTTCGGTTTCTGGGCTATGCCCCTAATGAAAAGTTCACTTTTGTCCAAAAAAAAAAAAAAACTTTAATGCTACTTCAGTACATTAACTGTGCGCATAAAATATTTGTGATTATCTTTTGATTTCCAGAAATATGATACACATTGCAATTGCTTCTTGGTAGTTTTTATTATAGATTGAATCTCGCTAAACTTCTGGTATGTTGATGTCTAGTTTATTGGGGCGACAATGGGTTCATCAGATCTACAAATACAGACAGAAAATGGTCAAATTGGCATGCCAACTAATATCTGTTGTGTCATTGTGGAATATCTTCCTGGGGGTGCTCTAAAATCGTACCTCATAAAACAATTTATATATACTTTGTGGCTTAGTTCGAAAGGTTTTTGCCTTGTGTGTTGTCCTACCAAGATTTCAATAACGTTGCCACCAATTTCTGTTAGTATGCGATCTGTAAATTTCTACGTAAATTCATACCGGTAGCAGCTAACAGTGAGAGCAACCAATCTCCCTCTCAACTTTATTAATTTGTTAGAAGAAATATTCCGAATTTAAATCTCATGAATAATAATGATTGAATACACATATATAACAAAAAAATCTCTACAATTAGTTAAATTGTATGTTACTATAGCTAGATGGCAATTTAGGGTTCGTTTGAAAGTACTTTTTGTAGAATTATCAGAGAGACAGGCCGATGGCCCACTTCCAACAACACCGATATTGTCTCAAACTTGGTAATTACCACTCACACAATCTGTCATGTGTGGAGTTTTACCACAAAATGTCTCGGTGTTAGTTAGAGTGAGATAATTCTATTTAAATTGCTTTTCTCCTTTCCCTCTAGCCGATGTGGGATTCAATACCGCCGCACGTGAAACCCCATTTTTATGGGTCACACGTGGAGATCCACATATCGACAACCACGTAGAGCCAAAAGGACTCACCCCATACGCAGGATCAAGGGACCCACCCATCAAGTGGTAGTACGGGCCCGATCCTTGACTTTGATACCATGTAGAATTATCAGATAAACGAGCCAAATGCCCACTTCCAACAACACCGATATTGTCCCCAACTTGGTAATTACCATCTGCACAATCCGTCAGGTGTGAGGTTTTATTATAAAAGGCTTTGGTGTTAGTTAGAGTAAAGTTAAGATATTTAAACTATTACTTAGTAAAAACGCAAAAATAACTGAAAACACTTTTGGTGAAATTTTTTTTAGAACTAAATCCTTAGTAAAAACGCAAGTGAGTTCTGGAGAAGCACTTGAAGTGCGTGCTTCTCTAGGAAAGCGCTTCAGGTGCTTTTGGAACCCAAACACATTTAAAAAAAGATTTAATCATTTTAAGAGCACTTCTAAACAAGAATTCTTCAAATATATACTTATATAACAAAAAATTTCCGTACAAATATATTTTAATATTTCAGAATCAAAGCCGAGTTTTTGAATGGAGAGAACTAATTTGTCAAATAAAAGAATAATAATTGGGAGGGACCATCTCACCATTTGTTTTTGTGAAAATATGTCTCAGTACAAAAAAGTCTCAGTCATATAGTGAAACCCAGAATGGACAAATACTAAATAGTCAAGTGCACGGAATTTAGGTTAGTATCTGTCGTGGTCTTATTCCCGTAAACCTGTTGCTGGCAACACTTTGCTCCATAATACATGACATTACCGTACTATAACACACATTATTGACATTCAAATTCAACAGGGGGACCCATTAACGAATTGTGTTACAAAAGCAAATTATCGTGACAGAGAAGATTGCTGCAAGGGCTTCATCCGGAAGCCATGATATCATGAATAAGGGCTGGTTTGGTATTATTGTGCTTTGAAAAAAAACTGCTGTGAGAATAAGCGGCTGTGCTGTGAGAATAAGCGGTTGTGAAATAAATCAGCAGAGTGTTTGGTAAACTTTTTTGTAAAAGTGCTTTTGAAAAAAAAAACAGTCTGATAGTGGGTTTTTTCATTAAAGGAGTATTGTAGCTCCGTGTGCTTTGAAAAAAAAGCTAGTTTTCCAAAGCTGCAAATAGCTGCTTCACCTTTTTCCTTTGATTTCAGCTTATTCTCACAGCAGTTTCCAAAATAAGCCTTTTTTTTTAGTTTACCAAACACCTAAAACTCTCACAATTTTTTTTCATGGGTGCTTTTTTTTTTTAAGCACCTCACTTCCAAACCACCCCTTAAGGCTCATGATTAAAAGCCTTTATTAACGTTAAATTAATGGTTTATATATAAAGTCTAGCTTGACTCAAGTAACACATCCAGCCAAATCATGTATGGTAAGACCTTAATTAGTGTTTGTTGTTGATAAAATGTTAATGGGTAATGCTAAGGAGATTAACTTTTAAAATTAAATTATGTAAATTATATGATACGATTGTTGATGACTGGATTATTATTGAAGTGTTGATTAACGTGTGTATTTTAGTAAAAAAATTTGGTCTACCTAGCATTATTCAAAGTTAATAGAAGATATAACACTGAATATGAGGTCTAACTGGCAGTTGGTCTACTAATATTAGCTAGTGTATTTATTGTTGGAAAATACATGGGCACTCATTAGCAAGTACGTACATTTTGATTTTGTCTAATGATATTTTAACACATATTTGAGGATCCCATCAGGTTTGAGTGTAATTGTAACCTCATACAACATCTTCAAAACATTTCATTCTTATACATTTAGTATAATTTTATGTCAATTTCATAAAACCGTTAAAAAATCTGTTAAGTTTACCGTAAAATGATGATGTGGACGAAATAGGAAAAGGAACTACAATAGTGAGTATTTAACTATTATCCTTTGTTTGCTGCTTCTTTGATGGGGGCCAATAAAGAATAGCCGTGTGATACTTTTCTTTGTTATTTGGTTTGGTGTAAAGTGCAAGTAACAAAGCAGAGCCGTGCCGCATTTGGAGCCCAAATCAATCACCAATATATAGAAAACTAGCAATCATGCATGCGCTAACGCATATGCAAAAGATATTTTTTGAATTACGGCATTGTGGATGCAAATTTCTTCTTTCTTGATCTTGGACAAAATTACACCTACAAAACAATTAACGCCTTAGGTTAAGGCCAAGAGCCTCATGTGCCCACGATGAATGGGGGGCTTTGGCCGAAGAACCTCCGATGCCAAAGTTAGAATTTAGAGAGAAAGAGTGTTTAGAGAATTTTGGGATTTTTGCCAAAGTGTTGGAATGAGTTTGGTGAAAATATGAGCCTATTTATAGGGCTAGGCTTGGCCATTTTTTCCAAGGAATGGCCGGCCCTTGAAGGAGTTTTTGGTTTAATTAGCCAATTTATTGGCTTATTAAACCTTAAAGAATAAATTGGTGGTTACATATTTATTTAGAATAAATTGATAATTAGGTTATGAAAAGGTTATAAAGAATAACTAAATTATTAGCTAAGAAGGGGAGAAAAGGGTAAGGAAAGGTAGGAAATAGGATGGATCCCTTTTAGATGGGGATGGCCGGCCATTGATGTGGTTTTGGGTGGTTTATTTGATATAATGAGTGACTTAATTGATATTTAATGGATTAATTGGGTAATTAATCCATTAATTAATCAATTAACATAATAATTTGGAGGTTACCTTGCAAAAGGGAATTTGATGAGATAGACTTTGAATTGTTTACCTCTTTTGGAGCATCTTTGACTTTGTTGAAGAAAGATTGTCGACTGCTTGCGCGTAGAGATCCCGGTGTACCTCAGGGGTATTTTGGGTCCTTTTTGTCCAACAATCCACGTGTCGCCTTGTAATTATTTTTGGCTCCACAGGCGTGTTACGTGTGACTTACATGTTTTAAATGTATTTAATGATATGCGTGAATTGACAAAAGGAAAATCAAATATTTGAAGTAAATGAATAATCTTAGATCATGCTATAAAAAAACCCCTCACAAACCAATCAAAACAGTTGAATTCACATAACAAAATCGGTCTTTTAATTTTCATCTACATTATATTGAATTTACATTAAGAATAGAGAAAATAATATTTAATAAACAACTGATTGAACCACATTATTGTTAGCCAATTGTGAGGCTAAACCCACCCCCTCCCCCTTAGTGTAGATAATATCATTTGTTCAAAAAAAAAAAAAAACAATCATTTGACATTTGACAATTAATTTGAGCACATTATTATGCGTGTGCGAAAGATTTTTTTTAATTTTTATAATTGGCATTACACGCTGCTTAAAATGTTTTGAACATGTTTAAAAATAGAGAAAATAATATTTAATGAAAAACTGATTGAATCACATTATTGCTAGCCTACTATGAGGTACTAATTAAAAATAAAAATAAAAAACTGTACAAAAGAATTAATTATTAAAAAACACTGTTAAAATGACAAAAATACCCTTGCATTATTTTGGGTTCTTTTTTATTTTTTTTTTGTTTTGAAGGTATTTTTGTTTAAATATTTTTGGTGAAGCTTATGACCCCAAAAGTTTTGGCTTTATATATAAAGATATTCGATGTTGCTCCCTTGTTCACATAATTTGGAAAGCTACCTGTAATAGTTTTATGTTGTTCCTGCATGCATGTTGTACGTATCAATGTGAATCACGTAGGGCCGTAATTAGTATTGAAAAAACATGGACACCCAACACTGTTTCCTAATCTGGATAAATCGAGTATTGAAAAACATGCACAGCCAACAATGTTTCCTAATCTGGATAACTCAACGTTATTTAAGACACTAATTTCATCCTTACACTTCGTCATTTGAAAGGTAAGTCAGAATATATATTTTTAAGAAGAAATTAGGTTCATATATTTCTTTTTGTTATTTGATTGATTAAAATCCTATTCATTTTCATTTTTTGGTTAAGGTCATTGGGTATTAATAACATCATTAATTATTTGAATAATAAAATATTTTTATTTTTAAAATATATTCCTTTAGTGTTAAAAATGTTACAATTAGTATATTTATATTTATGGCTAAATTTTTGATCATATATTTTTATTTTTAGTTTGTACCTATTTTTAATTTGTAAATATTTTTTAATTTGTACCAATTTTCTTTTCATTTTTAATTTGTACCCATATATTAGTTTCTTTTTGTGCCCATATTTTTTAAAGTTTTATTTGTGTTTGTACCCATGTGTATACCGTCACATGACATTATATATTTAATCAATGATAGAAAAATTACATATGGTATATTTACGTTTTATGCCTAAACTTTGTATCATATATTTATATTTTTTGTTTGTACCCACTTTTAATTTGCAACATGTTTTTTAAATTTGTAGTATTTTCTTTTTAGTTTTATTTTGTACCCATGTATTAATTCTTTTAGTGCCTATATTTTTTTAAAATTCATTTGTACTCATAATTTTTTAATCTTTTATTTGTACCCTAATTTATTTATAATGTACCCATTCTTCTTTATTAATGTACCACTTTGTTATATGTGAAATGTACCAATTTTTTTTAACACTATGGATACATTCTTTTGCCATTTCTTATTTCTTATTTTTACATAGTTTTTATCCATTTATTCAATCAAAATGTTTGAATTTTTTTATTGTAATGGTTTCTAATAGTATTATAATGAGGGATTTTAAATTTATAGGATTATAAATCTCATAAAATATCAAACAATTAATGTCAAAAATATAAAAATATAAATATTAATAGTAATATAATGAGGTGTACAAAGTCAAAGGACCTGATCAGACTTTGAATACTATTAAGGTTTTAATCAAAGAATGTTAAGGATTAAGGACCACATCCAAAATATCCCTATTTTTAAACCAAGCTTGCTGAGGAAGTCAATCTTAAATATTTTATTTCTAGTGGAGTTGAAACTGATACATGTGAATGTTAAACTAATCATATAACACCATAATATGTCGTCCAAATTGAAATTGAGTGGGATCATAACAAAACCAACTTCTAGATCATAACAAGACCACTTCTAGATCATAAGAAAACCACCTCTAGATCATAACAAAACTAACTTCTAGATCATAACAAAATTAAGACTTTTTGCATGAATTGATAATCAAAAACAAGGTTTGCAGAGTATGGGCTTAATAAAATTGGTTAGAGAAATGTGTATTTTGCTCTCCATTTAAGTTCCCTTCTTATAGTATAGAAATTTAGAGCCTATAATCATTTTGTTTTCACTTTTTTATTGACCTTGAAAGTTATTTGGTAAATCCTTTCTTTTAAGCAAGGAGCCTTGTAGATTTCGTCGTTTTCTTCGAATTCATATATTATGGGCCTAAAATTGTAACACAAAACTAAAACTACGTTAATTTTGAACAATTTGAAAAGTCCAAAACATCGACTTTCGGAATATGGCAGCAACAAATATATATTAAAACCTCTCTAAAGTAATAATCTGTAAGAAACAACCTCAAGTCATAACAAATTATGGTCCTAAGTTGGGACCAGTTATGTATAGAAATAAACTCCATACTGTAATAAAATATAATTTTTCTTGATTCCATCTAAGGAAATACACATCCACATAGCTATAATTTTTGCTTCCAGTTGGGGTTTGATGCTTCTTTTTGCACAATCAACACTAATAATTTCAGTTAACTGATTTTCATATTGACCTTGGGTAGATATGACCAAGGTATTAAATATCGATGATATCGGAAATATCGGTAGTCTGAAAACACAGAAATATCGATGGAAATATCGGGATAATATCGATATTGATAAAAATAAGTAGATTTAAATTGAATGGTATATATATTTATTAAGTAGATTTAAATTTATTTATTTTGTATGTATAACACTTAAGAAATTGAATGGTATATATATATTTATTAAGTAGCTTTAAATTTATTAATGTAGTTCCGATCGGGTTTTTGTTAGAAAAATATATTATTGTGGGTTTTATGTAAAAAACAAATTGAATTTGAAGGGAGTAAAGTGAAATTTTCATTAAATTTTATAATGATTTTTTTTTTTAATATAACTTGCGCCATGAAGACTGTCGTCGCGCAAAGTCAATGACTTAACATAAGATTGTGTAAATATTTTCAATTGACAATCGAATTAGTTCATTGTATTCATATAGGATCAAGGAGTGTAACTGTAAAAAATCATCAAAATCGGAGTTAAAATAACTGTTAAATCGTGATTTTTCATTTATAGCTGTGGAAAAGGTTTGTCCCGTTACTTGATATCTGAACGTTTGTTTTTTACGATTTTTGGCGTATGCGATCTCGAAGCATATACAAACAAGTTTGACGGTTGGACCATTGAAACTAGTTTCGTACAATGTGTTTCCCATCAAAACGATAGATTCACTAACATTTAGAGTTTATTAATACTTTCATGAAGTATAACATAAGATTTTGTGGTATCCACTTGTGTAACTGTTTTCAATTGATGATCGAATTAGTTCATTGTATTCGTATAGGATCAAGGAGTGTAGTTGTAAAAAATCATCAAAATCAGAGTTAAAATAATCGTTAAATCGTGATTTTTCATTCAAAACTGTTGAAAAGTTTTGTCTCGTTACATGATCTCTGAATGTTTGTTTTTTACGAATTTTTGCGTATGCGATCTCGAAGCATATACAAACAAGTTTGACGGTTGGATCGTTGAAATTAGTTTCATAGAATGCGTATCCTATCAAAACAATAGATTCACTACCATTTAGAGTTTATTTATACTTTCATCATGTATAACATAAGATTTTATGGTATCAACTTGTGTAAATATTTTAAATTAACGATCGAATTAGTTCATTGTATTCATATAGGATCAAGAAGTGTAGCGGTAAAAAATCATTAAAATTGGAGTTAAAATAACCGTTAAATCGTGAGTTTTTGTTTATAACCGTCGAAAAGTTTTGTCCCGTTACTTGATCTCTGAATTTATTTTTTTTGCGAATTTTTGTGTATGCGATCTCATTAAAACAATAGATTCACTAACACTTAAGAGTTTTTTTATACTTTCATTATGTATAACATAAGATATCAACTATTGTAAATATTTTAAATTGATGATCGAATTCATTCACTGTATTCATATAGGATCAATGAGTGTAGCTGTAAAAAATCATCAAATCGGAGTTAAAATAACCGTTAAATCGTGATTTTTCGTTTATAACCGTAAAAAAGTTTTGTCTCATTACTTAATCTTTGAATGCTTGGTTTTTGCGATTTTTTGCATATGTGATCTCGAAGCATATACAAACAAGTTTGACGGTTGGATCGTTGAAATTAATTTCGTAGAATGCGTATCCCATCAAAACAATAAATTCACTAGCAATTAGAGTTTATTTTATATTTTCATTAAGTAAAATATAAGATCGTGGAGTGCATTTTGTATATATAATAAATTTTATAATAAGTTTTTTTTTGTTTGTTTGTTTTTTTTTATTTTTAAAATATATCTTGTGCGACGGCGACGCCACAGTGGGATGGTTGCGCAAACAATTTATTATAATAAATTTTTTCTTTTAATATCATCTTGCGCGAGGCCACAATAGAATCGTTGATGAGCGGTTTCTTTAAAATTTTCCGATTGGAAAAAAAGGGCGCCTCCCTCACTTCAAGCATAACCTCGAAGAAGTCTCCTTTCCTATCTTTTATCTGATCATTTTGAGACATCCGACACCCTTCTTCTTCGCTCCTCTGCTCTCTCTCCGTTTCGGTACACTCCCCTGCAAATTCCGTCCTCTGCAGACAGAAAACCTCAATTTCTTCGCAGCAGTACTTTCAGGAAATGTTGGTTCAGAGGAGAGTGATGACGTGGGGGTCGGTGGCCAAGCCTCTCCAAACACTTGTCGCCGACGCGTCGCTTTTCACGTTCACGACTCTGATCGTTCTCAAGCTCCACCGTTCCGTCCGCTATCCTTGGTGGTTCGTAATTTTCTATTCCCTCTGCTTTTTTGTTGCCTGTTGTTTGGTTGCCGAGAAACTGAGAGAAAATAATAGGGGAAAAACGGAATCTTTCATATGCGTTTGAATTTTTTATTACCTGAGAGAGTATTAGATACCGTAGTTTTTTCGATTTTTACTGCATTGTTCTCGCAAACTAAAGGTACCCATTTGTGAGTTTGTGAAGTTTTTATTTCTTTGTTTAGAGAGTGAATTGCTGAGAATCCCCCTCAATTTTCTGTAGAATGATCAGAGAAACGGACCATACGGCCCACTTCCAACAACATTGATATTGTCTCCAACTTGGTAATTACCACCTGCACAATCCGTCAGGTGTGAGGTTTTATCACAAAATGCCTCAGTATTAGTTGGAATGAGATTATGGTATTTGAACTCTTCTTTTGTCATTGATACGGTCGATGTGATACATTTCAACACGTCCACTCACCTGAGACCCAATTAGCATGTTACACGTGGGAGATCCACATATTGACAACCATGTGGAGCTAAGAGGCCTCACCCTACACGCGGGGCCAAGGGACCCACCATGGCTAAGGGGACCCACCAATCACGTGGTAGTACGGTACGGGTTTGCTCTCTGGCTATGATATCATGTAGAATTATCAGAGAAATGGGCTATACAGCCCACTTCCAACAACACCGATATTGTCCCCAACTTGGTAATTACTACCTACACAATCCGTCATGTGTGGAGTTTTATCACAAAAGATCTCAGTATTAGTTGGAATGAGATTAGAGTATTTAAACTTTTCTTTTGTCATTGGTCGATGTGAGACATTTCAACATTTCCCAGTAAAAAACTTGTGGGTTCTGCTTATTAATTTAAAATGTTTCCTTCTTGGGCTCGTAGTTGATTCTATTGGGCATGCATTTTCAGTGATCGTGGAAGTTTCTTGCTCGAGATCTTTGGATTTTATGTGATGTTTTTAGTTAGTTTTTGTTATGCTTTCTGTTTCAAGTTCTTATGTGGACTACAATGTTTCGGTATCGGAAATTTCGATGCTTAACGATTCCATTTTGCAAGATAGTTCAAACTGACCAATGCACTGCCAAATCTATAAAAAACAGAGTTGAAAACATACCAATTTAATTAAGAACTTAACAAGGTGCAAGCCATTCATTGTTTCCGTGGTTTTACTGGCGGCTGCGTTTGCATTGTAATAGCAGCTGATTAGTGAAGATTGTAAAAGAACCTTTTGAGGCTGTCTCATGTAAGAAAACTGCATGATGGTTTAGGTTTTGTTACTTGTAATTGTCTCGAGGGTTCTGAATATCTTTGAGGAAGCATAACTTTCTTTCAGCCTCCAAATTTCAGCTGACTTTTTCGGGATTGATTGAATATATAGTTTTCTGTTTTCATAATATTGCAGGATCATATTTTCCCCTCTCTGGCTGTTCCATGTAGTTGTAGCACGAGGCAGATTTTCGTTACCTGCTCCAAACCTGCCTAATGATCGCAATGTATGAGATTGTATTTCCATTTTTCTGCATTTGTCCCCACTGCGTGTTATCATTTTTCCATAGACAATCCAATTTATTTATTTATGTTTCAAGTTGAGCAACAAAAAAGTAAATATTTCTTTCTTATGGGCAGTGGGCACCTTTTCATGCTGTCATGGCGACACCGTTGCTTGTCGCAGTTGAACTAACGCTTTGTATATACCTTCAGCGCAGATATGGTATACATGCAACATACTTAATGACAAGGATCACTGAAATCATGTTCTTTATCTATAACGCGTTTACTTTTTTGTTGGTCGATAAATGAATTATCAAACAGTCACTTATGATTACTTCTTGGTGAACTATAATGTGTGCAGTTGTGAGCTTGAAGATTGTCTTTGCACCCTTGTTGGCATTTGAACTAGCAATTCTATTGATAATGTCAGGTATCTCTATTTCTTCCAATCATATTTCCAAACTTCCTTAATGTTTTTTTCTTTAGGAGGGTTCTAAGTTCCCAGAGCTCGACATGTTCAAGGACGTTTATGTTCGACCTAGCGATGAGAATAGCTCCATGTAAGTATATGTAATTATTATTATTCTTATATTTATGAATCGTTCAAATATTATTTATATTTTGTTATTAAACATTATATGTTTTTTATTATTATTACAGGCTGCTATGGTGGAAAAACACACTGCTGTTCTCCAATAAGAAGCAACATTACAGCTTTCCTCGGAGACCCCGATCAAGGATGCAGGTCTTCAGATCTTGATTGAGGTCCAGGATCAGAAGTTCGGTCGTCGTCATGGCAAGGTTGTTTGGTGTATGGGGAAGGCGCGGGTTCATGAGACGGGTGCCTTCTCTTCCAAATCGACCACAGGACATGTCAACGCTCTGAAAGAGGAAGTGACAACCCTAAAAGGTCAGCTTACGGTCCAAGGCGAGTAGATGAGCATGATTGTACGAGCCTTACAGATGTCCAGCCTCCAAATCCCGATGCCAGCACCTGATCTTGCTCCACCTTCGACCTCCCAACCACTTCGCTCAACTGATACCCAGTAGCCTGATGTATCAAACCTAGAAGACTACTTGTAGTTTTTTTTTGTTTGGACATCTTGTATGTACGTTTTCATATATTTTATAATTAAATACTTTTTCTTGGTTTATTAATTATTGTTTAGAATTTAATTACAATATTTATTAAAAATTAAATAAAAAATATTTTTGCCAAAAAAAAAAGGGTTTGCACGACGCAAAAGTAACATGCTTGCACAAATCCTACTGCTACTGCCTTGACGTGACGGTTGGTGCGCAATGAAGGATTCGTTGGGCTAATTTTTGTCTGATGTTTTTTGACTTTGTGCGACGAAGGACCTGCGTCGCGCAAACTGTTTTTTGTACTAGTGCTACACACGAGGCCAAGGGATCCACCATTATCGCGCGAGTCCAAAGGGACCCACCCATCACGTGGTAGTACAATACGGGCCCGCTTCCTGGCTCTGATATCATATAGAATTATCAGATAGACAGGCCAAGGGCCCACTTTCAACAATATCGATATTGTCTCCAACTTGGTAATTACCACCTACACAATCTGTTAGGTGTGAGGTTTTATCACAAAATGCCTCGGTGTTAGTTAGAGTGTGATAATTCTATTTAAATTGCTTTTCTCCTTTCCCGTTAGCTGATGTGGGATTCAACACTTTTAAAATAACTGAAAACACTTTTGGTGAATTTTTTTTTTAGAACTAAATCCTTAGTAAAAACGCAAGTGAGTCCTTGAAGTGCTTCTCTAGGAAGCACTTGAAGTGCGTGCTTCTCTAGGGAAGCACTTCAAGTGCTTTTGGAACCCAAACACATTTAAAAAAAAAATTTAATCATTTTAAGAGCACTTCTAAATAAGAATTCTTCAAATATATACTTATATAACAAAAAATTTCCCTACAAATATATTTTAATATTTCAGAATCAAAGCCGAGTTTTTGAATGGAGAGAACTAATTTGTCAAATAAAAGAATAATAATTGGGTGGGACCATCTCACCATATTTTTTTTGTGAAAATATGTCTCAGTACAAAAAAGTCTCAGTCATATAGTGAAACCCAGAATGGACTAACTAAATAGTCAAGTGCACAAAATTTAGGTTGGTATCTGTCGTGGTCTTATCCCCGGAAACCTGTTGCTGGCAACACTTTGCTCCATAATACATGACATTACTGTACTATAACACACATTATTGACATTCAAATTCAACAGGGGGACCCATTAACGAATTGTGTTACAAAAGCAAATTATGAAAGGGCTGCATCTGGAAGCCATGATATCATGAATAAGTCCTGGTTTGGTACTGAGATGTTTCTGAAAAAAGTGGGTATAAAAACAAGTTAACTTTTTATGTTTGGTAAACATTCAACTTCAGCTTTTTTTTCTTCACATTTTTGGATGAAAAAAAGCCAAAAACACAAAGGTGCAAAACCCAGCTTTGAAAAACTAGCTTTTTTTGCTTGCCCGGCTTCTGCGCAAACCAATTTCGCAAGAGGCGCTGAGGCCTTTAATGAAATTTTCCAATACCCAAAATGGCCTTTAGCAATTAAATAAATTATACATTATACCCGTTGACTTCATCGCCGACCTCGCCACGTCTCTCTTCCGTCCTCTCTGACTTTGAGCTTTTTCAGATTTCTGGGACATGAGCGGCGGGAGGTTTGTCGGATTTCTGGGTTTTGTCAAAATTCGGGGCCTTTTCTTCCGATTTCTGAGCTTTGTCAAAATTTGGGTTGCACAAAGAATGCTAGATTTGCACCCTTCTGCTTGACATCCAAAATCTCAACGGGAAAGCCTCGACGCCTTCATTGCTAACACCGATGGTAAGTCCTGAAATCGGAGTTCATCCATTTTTCGCGAATTGGTTGATGTGACCCAGCCTTCATTTCCCCACGACCTAGCCTTCATTAGGATCAGGCAGAGAGAGATACAGAGAGATATAGAGAGAAGGGGGAGAGAGGGAGTGAGTGCTTGAAGATAACAAAGGTTCTGCAAAAATAAAATAGGGACAAGGTAAAGAAGAAACGACTCTTAGAGAAAAGAATAGAATAAAAAAATTATAAATTGTTGTAGGCATAATTTACTGAACAATTACGGAGGCCATAGAAAGAGAAATGCGCGGCAATAGAGAATAAGAAGAGAGAGATGTGTAATTGTGGGTGTGTGTTATTCCACCCCATTGTGTCTTTATTTATAGTAGTAGGGAAGGTTAATTCCTTACCCCTTAGGATTACAACATTTAATAGGTAATCTACTTCTAATAGGAATATAAGAGATATCCTTATATCTGTTAGGATTTACACAATCACATTCCTAATCTAGGAATATAAGAGATATCCTTATATCTACTAGGATTACAACATTTAATAGGTAATCTACTTCTAAGATTGCAACACTCCCCCTTGAGTGTGTAAATACTCAAGTAAATGACACATCGGGTTTTCAGTGATGAAGCAAGTATAGTTGATGAAGTCGTCGGCACAATGAGTGAATGTGAGTCTCATATCAACGGAAGAATGCATAAAAAGTAAAACTCACAAAACCTCGCTATGGTAAAACCTAAGGTGGGAGAAAAACCCATAGTTTAAGGAGAAAAGTGAGAAGTTGCATTAAGTAAAAAACTATACGTCTTTTAGACGTAAGTAGAAGAGCTCACAAGGGTATGATCAGCCCAGGATGGGTGCCTCGTTAAAACCTAGTTAGGTAGCAAAAACCCAGTGGGAAAATGCTCATAATCAGGAAAAAGAGTACATTAAGATCAAGTGATTATATTTCTGGATACTCCTCCTGAGTTTGACATAACTTCCAAATGAGAACTATAAGCATTGCATATGAATAATTAGGCATACCAATTCCTCGGACAAGCTTCTGGAAGGTTGACTTTGGCAGTGACGTCTTGTAGAGGTCGGTAAGGTTGTCTGGGATCGGGTTGCATAACTTCAATTTCTTGATGCTTTGCTGATGTAGATGCAATATGTCTTGGCGTTGACTTTGCTGATGTATCATGTCTTGGTCGAATGGATACATACGGCATAATCTTCATGGATCGTCGTTGGGACTTAATGATGGATGAAAACACAGCAAGTACTTCGGATATACTCAGCAAAAACTCCTAACCATGTCTCACTTGTGGCGTAGTGAAGTGAGGTGAGTTTTGGAACGATTCAAAGATTTCGCAACTAAGGTCATATCATGGACCTCCAAGATATTGCGATATCCCTAACGGTAAAGACATAACCATTTGGAGATTTTGCCTTGTGCAGGTTTGATAAGTAATATGCGTCAACATAACTACAAGGCAAACATCATTTTAAGGATCAGGGGGTTGGATCCGCTGAGATGCATTTGAGATTTGCCCATGTAGTACCTTCAGGGTATGTCTTTAATACCAATTCAATGGATACGTGTAGGAGCGGTGTTGCATCTTTACCAAGATTAATAGCGAAGGAGATGTCCTGTCTAAATACAATGAGCTAAGTACAACGAAGCACAAAGTTGAACTTTAGATATGAAATTTCGGATTCCATAACCTCTTCAAGGGTCTCATTTGCATATAACGTATGGACGATCATAGGTATACTTAAAGGTAACACATTCGGGGTGTAGTTCGACTGGTAGACCAAAATACCGTCAGAACAATGCTTCAACTTCGAGTCGAGGCATAAATGAGTTTTCCCAAGATCCTTCATCTCAAATTCCATTTTTAGGTATGAGGCAATTTTCTCAAGTTCTTCCAGAGTCTTAATGAGATTCGTGTCAACGACATAAACTGTAATTCTAGCAATTTAGAATAAGACTTCATAGTTTAACACGCAAAAACATAATTCATATCCCTAACTAATCAAATAATCACTTAGACGGGTATACCACATCCGTCGGATTGTAAGTGAATGCCTCAAGCAAGTTAAGAGGGTGTTATATGGTTTTGGAACTATTTAAACTAGTCCATGTAATTCTTCGGGAACTTACATGTAAATCTCCGTATTTATATCCCCATGAAGAAAACACTAACCAAATTTCATAATGCTGCTATCAATCACAGGACGTTTTGAGAAAAACCTTGTGTCGTAAGACGTGCATCATATCGCACTATTTCATTCATCTCAATACGCTTCCTTTCCCACTTGTAACATAACATGGTTATCTTGAGCAGTGTAGGGACAACAGGTCCAATACACATTTTGGCAAGGAATTTGACCTGGATTATAATTTCGGTTGTCCAATCAGTTCTACGTTATCACTTAATCAAAGGAACACGGTTCAATATCGTCGCTTTTCATTTATGTCGGTAGCTACCATATAAGTGAAAACTTCATCAATGATAATCTTATTTCAATTCCATTTAGCTCATCCAAACTAGTATACTGGACCAAGAACTTTAAGTGTCGGGAGAAATCCGGATTAATCTCATAAGATGGAAATGATTTGAGACAGCGATCGAGTTTAGATTCATTGTTGTGCCGTGTCTTCCTCTTCCAGGGAAGTGAATTATACGAACTGAATGATTTGTCATGCTCCAAGCCAAGACAGATTAATTGGTTCTCCGTCGGTATACTAGATCGTCCAACAGGGGTGTCCAAACCGTCCAACAGGGGCGGCACACCTTCCAGGGATGTTGACTCGACATTCGTTAAGTACGTCTATCCTTGCAGGAATTTTTACAGCTGGTATATGATCTCGTCACTTTAGCTAGATTAGAGGAATACGTCTAGAGCAACATTCTGAAATCTAGAATTCATCACACTTACTTATCATTCATATGCAGTATGAGGATCAAGATGAGACATAGTGGGTAACGTCCACGCAAATTCGCGCTGTTCTCCAGGAACGTTGATGTTCTTATCTCCCCCTAACGGTAGGAAGACTATCTCATTAAAGTGACAACCCATAAATGAGCGGTAAAGAGATCGCGTGCAAGGGCTTAAAGAGAGCTAGTGTGAAGGAGAATCGTAATCGACAAAAGATACACATCCTTCTTTGAGGACCCATGATGGTATGTTGCGGCGGCGCAACTTGGCACATGGAATGCACACACAAATCGGTAAATACGAAAATCGTCAGGTTCGTACCCAGTAACCAACTGTAACGTCATATAGGTTGGGTGGCTATGGGCCTCAAGGCAGACCA